GAGAGAGAGAGAGAGAGAGAGAGAGAGAGAGAGATGTCGACTAGAACCTGTCATAAACGTTGAATTTGGAAAGACCGGCAAGCAAGGACGTTTTGCATGCATGCTGAACAACTGACTGCATTCGATCGTTCTCTCGATAACATTAAAAACTTTATCTAATCGGTATCAACAGAACAGCTAATTGCAAATTTTTAGTTATAAATCTGGTAGTTTTATTTCTATGAGAAAGTGCATCACTCAAATGTCATGATCAATTTCATTATATTTATGTAATTGATTGAATTGTTATTTTCTGCATACGGTCTTGTGTTGTTTTATTCTGTAACTCTGCTCAGGTTTCTGAATATTCCACCCATTAATTTTACATTTTATATTTTTATTTACTCGATCCGGATACTGTGGTCAATCATCCTCGATATAACGATAACCACAACTAGCGCGTAACATCCTATTTAAGCCAGAATTAGCTAAACGAATCCACACTATATCAACATTGACGATTTATTTTCAGAAACCTCGCACATCCTTTTTTCTATTTCAGATATTGCTGTTCTAATACTGCAACAATAGGGCCAAATGAGTAGCATAAATGTAACAAAAATCGATTGCTCTATATTTGGTGAAACAGAAACATCTTTGACGCGTATTTTGAACAAAGCCTAGTTGTATTTGTACTTCAAACTCTTTGCGTCTACTTTGGCGTTTATTTATAGATTGGCGTAGTTAAATAAATATTTAAAATATAACTGTTCATGGAATCAAAATAAAGCCGAATTACATGCCAAAAAGAAACTTATGCTTTTTTTCGGATTAGTCATGAAGCATGAAAATTTATATTACATCTATAACTTTGATATAATCATCAACTGGTGAACATTTTTGAACCGTTTTATGTTTAGCTGACCATAGGTCAAACAGTCTTCTCTTTTATTATATACTTAGGTGTGAAATATAGTCTTATTGGCGAAATAGTTTTCATCTTTATTTCATCAAAATATTTTCACATGTGAAAAATATATCCTTGTGAAAATATAAGACATGAAATCACGCCATGCGATACTTGATTGTGAGTGCCCCAAAAAGTTTTGCATGTAGAAACAGAAAAAACAACAGGGTACTTTGTGTGCTAGAACAAATAAAAAGGAACTGTCTCACACTACAAACATGGCATCAATCTTTGATAAAGGTAATTTTGTACACATCGTTTGCATCTCATTGAAGTTATTTCATTGACATAAAAGATAAACCAGCTGATGCGATTTGTTTCCAGATAAGGTCTAATCGTTTACAAAATGACAAAAATGTGATTTACTGTAACACATTAGATCAACCCAATCCTACAACGTTCTTTGGGTACGTATATTTCTATGACCAGACTTTAAAAGTGCGGATAATTTACGAAAATTGGTTAGGGGGGAACGAGTCGGATAAGGATTTTATTCTTCGAAACCTTTTAATCTGGAAAAAGTTTAGCATATAATAAAAAGACAATTTTCTTTTCCTGCGTTATTACGTGATATATTTCATCTTGTTGTACGAAAAAGATATTTTTTAACTCGTAGCTTCGCCACACGTTAAAATATAATGTTTTTTGGCGTAACACGATGAAGTCTACCCGGTATAATTGTTGTTGTTGTTGTTGTTGTTGTTGTTGTTGTTGTTGTTGTTGTAGGGTTTAACACCATTTTTCAGCACAAGATAGGCTATACATGGTGTCTAGTATAACTGGTGGAAGAAGTACCATGGAAAACCCCGGGAAGAACCACCGACCCACGAGAAGCTACTGACAAGTTCTCTCCCATACTCACGTTAGCTGAGCCTGAGACAAACGCGGAGCTGAGATGGCAATTATCCGAAACGATGAGCACTTTAAACCACTCAGCTACCCTGGGCCACTATCCGGAATTAACGCAGAAGAAAATATTCTCCGTGTATTCTGTTTTGGGGCACTAATTTTACCAATATTTAATAGTGTCATTGACAGATGTGTCTACTCTACATGGAAAGATTTTGGCAAACGTTATTACCAGAAAAGCATACCAAAATCACTATTCATTGATGAAAATGAAACAAAAATGAACTTTAATTTTGTTTTAGATGCAATTAAAAATTCCATTGTGAAGACGCCAATCCGATACTTTGACTTTGCTGATTTCATTTCCGAGACGGAGAGCTCTCCGGATCAACGTAAGAGCATCTCGTAAGAAAGACAGCTTTTAATATCTTTTGAGAAATAACCACTTTAGGAATTCGTTCAGTATCGTATCTGTAATTTCTGAGGAATAAAGCAAAAAAAAAACAACAGTTGTTTGGCATGGAATTACACAAAATAATTCAGATTCTGAACAAGATTTTGATTGATTCGCAATTGAGAACACGCGCCAGTTACTGTGGAGCAGACGAGTTGGAAAGTCCCCTTTGCGTGTATCCTTACTTCAATAAACAATAGACATAATGACAAGAGAGTTGATCTTGTTTATCTGTTTGGAAAGTTTATCTTTGCTGCTGCTAGAACCTAAAAGGATGACACGTGAAATCTGATATTGATGCATTGATACCGTCACGTTGTTACAACTCCTCCAGCAATGCTGTGTACGGGTAGCTATAAAAAAAGAGCGTTGTTACCGGTAATTATTATATTTTAACCCATAGCCCTTGAGGCACCATATTCTGAGTTCCCGAATTTGCCCGAATAGAGACGATTTCTGTTGAGGATAATACATTTCTTCTAATTTTCAAGCTGATGCAAACAATTTGAAACTAATGTGAGTTACAACCTACGCACCGATGCTGCAAGACATTGTGATGGGCGCCCGCAGGATTTTTTGCAGGGAAAAGGGATGAATCAGGATTTTTTTCGGGAAGGGGGAAGCGCGGGTCAGTCAGTCACGGCATGGTGAGTTAGTATAAGAAGCAGTCTGAAACTAAAGCTAATATTTATTGAGCGTTTGGAACAGAATCTTGTGACATAACTTCAGCTTCATTTGCATGATTATACTTGTCGATATATATATATATATATATATATATATATATATATATATATATATATATATATATATATATATATATATATATATATATACACACACACGCACAGAATGATGAGGGTCACGTGACCCTCTCCCTTGACCCATGCTGCGAGTGCCCAGGGGTCGAGGTGTCAACAAGCACTAAGCTAGAGTTTCACATTATGGATTGTGTGCGGGAACAGAAAGTTACATAAATACATCTAAGCAGAGTTCTTAATTTGTAAGCAGAGGGTCGCTGATTCCGCGACTCAGTACCTGTATTTAAAACAAAAAATTAAATAACTCTATAAAGCAGGTCAAAATGAATAGTTTATGTAGATAATATAAAAGCTTGCCAGCATTTTGGGTAGAATTCAACTATAATTGTTTGATGAAACTTTCGACTTGTGTCAGTTTTTATCGAAAGTTATTATTCAGAGAGGAAAACGTTCGAAAGACGTCTGCTCTATAGTAGCTAACGACTTCCTCAGGATCACCAGGGTCACTTACCCTCTGAATGATTTACTTTTAATGGCTATATAATCTGTAACAAAGCATAGAGTTCCAGATCAAATAAATTAAATTCAAGTTGAATGCCGTATGTATTCCAAGATACTTGGCCAAGAATGATGTATGAGAAGGATCCGAATGACTTCTAACCCAATTCCACACCTCTTCGCACCTGACCCAAGTTACCTCTAGTGTGTGTAGTCGATGTACAGTTTTTCGGCTTCATATGTCGTGTCCAAGTAAATAAAATATTTGGTGTAGTACTAAGCATGAACTGTTTATTTGTCATGATAGGGGTGGTAAGTTAAATACTTCAGGTCAAAAGGTTAGGAGACTAAATTGACAGATAGTTTCAAACGCGACCTGGGACTAACGTGGCATAAAATTGATGTCCTGAATAAGCAGTGCCGGATTTACCATTGTGCTTAAGCACTGGGCCCCTGTTGGCCACTGAGTCCCAACTTCTTTGCCCCCCCCCATAATACTACTACTACTACTACTACTACTACTATTACTACTACTACTACTACTACTACTACTACTACTAATAATAATAATAATAATAATAATAATAATAATAATAATAATAATAATAATAATAATAATAATAATAATAATAATAATAATAATTTACGATGAATTTGCCAAAAGTCTGTGGTTATTTTAACTACTCCTAAATTTCCTGGGTATATATGCCTGGCTACCTGTGTAGGCCTACCGGACCTACCTCATTCAGGTCCCAAGTAAGCGGCCTCATAGCTAGCACAGCGACTCATTTGTCTTAAAATCCGGCACTATGAGTAGGACCTAAAGTCGCTGTCAATTTTTTTTGTTGTCTTTACTATGATCAAAACCACGTTTTAATAATGTATCAAGTCTCTTGAATGAACAGGAACATACCTGCATGCGTTAGTGTACCGTGTGTACTTAGAATTTAAAATGGATAGAAACAAACACATACGCGTGTGTGATTATGTATTTAGAATTTAAAATGGATTGAAACGTATATACAAGCGTTAGTGCACCATGCACTTAAAATTTAGAAATGTGCTGGCAAGGAAATAATATGCATGTCAACGTTCAATGGCACGCATGCGCAGTTAAAACTATAGGGCTGCGATTAAAAGTAAAGTCCTAAAAATATGCAAACAAATTACGCTAAAACAACTTATGAACTAAACTCATACAAATAATAATTAATACGAAGTACTACAAGATTCAAGGTAAATAGTAAAAGTGTTTCAATTTTCTGAAAGGAATAAAACGTAATAAAAAGAAGATTAACATTTTTAAATCCTATAAAATATAGGATCAATTTTATATATATATATATATATATATATATATATATATATATATATATATATATATATATATATATATATCTATATATCTATATATATATATATATATATATATATATCTATATATATATATATATATATATATATATATATATATATATATATAACCGCTCCAGTGGCCTAGTGGTTAGAGCGTCCGTCTCGGATGCGGGAGGTCGTGAGTTTGATCCCCGGTCTATTCACAACAATGACTTACAAAAACGGTACTAACAGCTGCCTCGCTTGATGCTCAGCATTAAGAGGTTAGTGTTTTGACTGGTCGGCCTGGTGTCAGGATAATGTGACTGGGTAGGACATCATGCTACATGTCTGTGGCATGATGTCTCAGTGCTAGACATCAATATAAACTGCTAAACTGCCACACTGCAGTCATCGTATCGATATCACTCAAAAATTGTCATAGCACCGTTAAAAATCATAATCACCATAATCACATCACACAAACCTTTATATATATATATATATATATATATATATATATATATATATATATAATAATAATAATAATAATAAAACAACATACATCTTAATTCTAGAGGGAGCGAGGGAGTCGATATACTTGATGAAATTGAGTTCCACCGTCAGGTGACACTGACAGGTATGTACTCTAAGGAAAGTTGTCAGATAGTCAGGTGACACTGACAGGTATGTACTCTAAGGAAAGTTGTCAGATAGTCAGGGGACACTGACAGTTATGTACTCTAAGGAAAGTTGTCAGATAGGTGACACTGACAGGTATGTACTTTAAGGAAAGTTGTTAGATAGGCATGAATTACACGTATCCGATACCCATTGTCGGTTACCCCTAAGCAAACTAATCACGTGCTTAGGACATCAGAAAAAATCAAATTAAATGTTGACGATTCTATTGAATGAACTATATATGATCATTTCGATATGCATGTACGAGTATTTTGATTGGGATTTATGGCAACACTGGTATTTTCCCACCTTGTTAACTTTTAACATTGGCTTGTTTCTGCGTTTCACATTTTGTAGGAGGCCAAAATATTCTCATAAATTATTCAAAATGTGATTGGCTGCATACATACATACATACATACATACATACATACATACATACATACATACATACATACATACATACATACATACATACATACATACATACATACATACATACATACATACATACATACATACATACAGTTCGTTTTTCACATAGCTTAACAAAACTAGTCGTGCTCTGATTTATGGGATTACCCTGACAACACAGAAAATAGCAACAGAAGAAACATTACATCCATTATGATAGTTGAAAACGACACTATTTTGAGGTAAATAAATAAAAACACATATTCCGACTCAAATAAAATCACACGCATCTTCACACTGTAGAAATGAAATGATCCCTCCCTAATGTAAGGAAAGGCCAAAATTGAAAGGTTGTACTCGACTGTTACTCTAAAGACAAATGTTTCAACGTACGCTCGTGACGACTTCAATTAAATAAATCATGCACACTGGCGACTTTGCTAATTTCAGTGAATCATATTCTTTTTGTGACATTGCTTTTTCAATGAATGATACTCTATAATCGACTTTGCTTTTTTCAATGAATCATTCCTCATTGGTGACTTGCGTTACTTTAATGAATCATACTCTATTGGCTACTTCGCTTACTTCAATAAATCATACTCTGTTGGCCACTTGGCTTACTTCAATGAATTATACTCCATTAATCACTTTGCTTACTTCAATGAATTATACTCTATTGGCCACTTTGCTTACTTCAACGAATTATACTCTGCTGGCCACTTGCCTTACTTCAATGAATAATACTCTTTTGGCCACTTTGCTTACTAAAATGAATTATACTCTACTGGCCACTTGGCTTACTTCAATGAATTATACTCCATTAACCACATTGCTTACTTCAATGAATTATACTCTATTGGCCACTTTGCTTACTTCAAGGAATTATACTCTATTGGCCACTTTGCTTACTTCAAGGAATTATACTCTGCTGGCCACTTGGCTTACTTCAATGAATCATACACTTTGCTTACTAAAATGATTTATACTCTACTGGCCAATTGGCTTACTTCAATGAATTATACTCCATTAACCACATTGCTTACTTCAATGAATTATACTCTATTGGCCACTTTGCTTACTTCAAGGAATTATACTCTATTGGCCACTTTGCTTACTAAAATGAATTATACTCTACTGGCCACTTGGCTTACTTCAATGAATTATACTCCATTAATCACTTTGCTCACTTCAATGAATTATACTCTATTGGCCACTTTGCTTACTTCAACGAATTATACTCTGCTGGCCACTTGGCTTATTTCAATGAATCATACTCTTTTGGCCACTTTGCTTACTAAAATGAATTATACTCTACTGGCCAATTGGCTTACTTCAATGAATTATACTCCATTAACCACATTGCTTACTTCAATGAATTATACTCTATTGGCCACTTTGCTTACTTCAAGGAATTATACTCTATTGGCTACTTTGCTTACTTCAAGGAATTATACTCTGCTGGCCACTTGGCTTTCTTCAATGAATTATACTCTACTGGCCACTTGGCTTAATTCAATGAATTATACTCCATTAACCACATTGCTTACTTCAATGAATTATACTCTATTGGCCACTTTGCTTACTTCAAGGAATTATACTCTATTGGCCACTTTGCTTACTAAAATGAATTATACTCTACTGGCCACTTGGCTTACTTCAATGAATTATACTCCATTAATCACTTTGCTCACTTCAATGAATTATACTCTATTGGCCACTTTGCTTACTTCAACGAATTATACTCTGCTGGCCACTTGGCTTATTTCAATGAATCATACTCTTTTGGCCACTTTGCTTACTAAAATGAATTATACTCTACTGGCCAATTGGCTTACTTCAATGAATTATACTCCATTAACCACATTGCTTACTTCAATGAATTATACTCTATTGGCCACTTTGCTTACTTCAAGGAATTATACTCTATTGGCCACTTTGCTTACTTCAATGAATTATACTCTGCTGGCCACTTGGCTTACTTCAATGAATTATACTCTACTGGCCACTTGGCTTAATTCAATGAATTATACTCCATTAACCACATTGCTTACTTCAATGAATTATACTCTATTGGCCACTTTGCTTACTTCAAGGAATTATACTCTGCTGGCCACTTGGCTTACTTCAATGAATTATACTCTACTGGCCACTTGGCGTACTTCAATGAATTATACTCAACTAGCGACTATGCTTGCTTCAATAAATCGTACGCTACTGGCGACTTGTTTATTTTGGCAAATCATGCTCTGGCGATTTTCCTTACTTCAATGAATCATATTCTATTGGCGACTGCTTATTTCAGTGAATACTCTATTTTTGACTTTGCTTATTTCAGTGAATCATACTTTATTGGCGACTTTGCTTACTTAAATGAATCATATTGAACTGGCGAATTTGCTGATTTCAATGAATCATACTCCATTGGTGACTTCGCTTACTTCAATAAATCATACTCTATTGTGATTTTTCTTATTTCAATGAATCGTGTGCGATTATCGACTTTGCTTTCTTCAATGAATCGAACTCTATTGGTGGCTTTGCTTATTTCAATGAATCATACTACAGTGATGACTGCTTACTTCAATAAATCGTACTCTATTGGCGACGTTGCTTATTTCAGTATTCATAATCTGTTGGTGACTTTTCCTTATTCCAACGAATACTCTATTCTCGACTTTGCTTATTTCAGTGAATCACATACTCTATTGGCCACATTGCTTATTTTAATGAATCATACTCTAGTGGAGACTGTGCTTACTTCAGCGAATCATATTATCAATTTAGCTGATTTCAATGACTCTTACTCTATTACTGACTTTGCTTAATTTAACGAATCATGCTCTATAGAGAAGTTTGCTAATTTTTAATGAATAACTCTGTTTGCAACTTTGCTTACTTCCAAGTGAAACAGTCAGATAAATGAGACAGAACAGTCTTGAATAAATCTTCTTTTGTCTTTTCATTCAGATTGCTTTCATGGTTTATCTGACGTGTGCCCTGTTTAGACATCGTGCAAACTCGGTCATTTGCATGAGTCTGTGTGCCTGTCTGCGTCTCTATCTGTCTCATTCAAACACACACACGTACAGACGCAACTGTTGAATTCTCTTCCAGATTACATTCGCAAACAGCGCTGATGTGCGAGGTAAACCTGTATTTAGAATTATTTTAGATGTATACAATCTCCCTTGTGTACGTTATTTAAATCAGCCAAGCGACTAGTGTCATGTAAGGCAAAGGCGTTCATGGTACAGTTAACATCATCTAATAAATATCCCAACCTTCACTGCCGCAGTGAAGACACCATAGGGTATAAAAACAATACAAGTTGGACGACAAGACTTCGTGTTTCTTTATGGTATGTTCTTATTGAGAGTATACATGGGAATTTCGCCAAATTCTTATCCTTTTATCGTTTGCTTATGGGGTATAATATGCCATCAAGGTGGGTGTGTTTGTTGTGCTTATAGCTTGATGGGATATTTTATCAGTGAAAAAGTGAGAAAATGTCAGTTTACAAAATAACGTTACAATTTTCTCCGAGATAGCGAAATCCGAATATGTTAACGAACATGGCTAATCATGAAACAGAACAGTCCCTGTGGGTCGAAAGTATCCGATACGTTCATTTTATCAGCTCTATCCCACGGTGGCTATTATCCGTAGACTTTCAACTGGTTGGTAAAATAATGCAGAGCGCGCCGTACTGGTTCATTCAATATTTTGGTAGACACCGTGGTCTTTATATTTACTTCACGGTGAATGGTTAGTTATAAGAGCCTGTGTTGCGGGGCATTGCAATGTTCTGGAATAGAACATTAACATGCTCCACATAAATCACGAAGATTGACTTAATGCATATTTTCTATGTTAAATGGACCTGAGAGTTAACGCAGACATTTTGGTCACTCGTTTTGGATTAATAGCATGGACAGAGACGTCTTTGTCCTGGTGAATGCATCGCACTATATCAAGGGAGAGTAGACTGAGTTCATTCCGAAGATTATCTCTCCAGTAAATCCAGTAATAACCAATGGGAGATTAGCCACATCACTATACAGAGGCTAGAAAGAAAAAAAGAAAAGAAAAACAACGGTGCATGTTCCTTTTGAGACTTTGAGTG